TTAATCATTCAGTTGCACCGGCCAGATCAATTAAACCTCCCAGCTGTCAGATGTGTAATTGAATGAGCAGCGTGATGCACATGGGAGAAAGGAGAGTTTCGGTGTTCAGAAGGAAACGTCGCTGGCACGCTCTCGCCTGTCAGAAAACTTTAATCTGGTACAAGTTGAACGTCTAGGCGTCTAGAGCTACTGAACTGTAAAACTAGGAAAATCAGTTTGATAACAAATTAGGTACATAATCGGATGACGCACATTTATGAATGCTTTATAACTGACTTCCGCCACTCCGTTGCACTCAGTTCTGCACCTCTAGGTCCATCAGTACTGAAGTTATCATTTGAATTGTAGAGGATATAACTGACCATTGCGAGGTCACTTACGATACAAACAGGCTTCCATATTTCTGCAGCAAACTTGAACTAACTTGTATCTCGTATCCAGTGTTCAGTTAGACTGTGTTCACTTCACTCTGAGAAGAACGATCACGTCAAGGAAATGTCATATAATTTCTCCCAATCCTTTGCCTGTCTAAAGCTGGTTGACCTTTACGAACAGTGCCTAATAGCTACAATCTAACAATGATGTGGAATAATTCATGATTGCCGCAAACAAGAGACGTCCGAAAATACTGCAGCCTACAGACGGTATTAAAAGTGACAGGTCGTAGAACTGGCTCAAAATTTTCGAGGAAGCGACATGCAGAAAACGACTACTGATGGCTCAGGTAACGGACAATACCATAAACTGTTTGTGGTTTTAAAAGGTACAGAAGTATCTTGTTTTGAAAATGTGCTTTACTGGACTGATGCTTGCTTATTTATCTAAATGCTGGTTTCGGTGGGCACTTACTATGTAGGTAGTAAGTAAATCTCACTTGGTTTCGAGGATTATTTACAAGATGCATTAGACGTTATTGCTTTGACAGCAGTTCATGAGAAATTTCACTATGGCATAGACTGATCGGAAGTCAGCTGAAGGTCCGTAAAACGCTAAATTTAAAAATATGACTCCTAGTACTGATAAAAACAGCCTTTTTACACGGTGGATATCCTGAGAGGAAACATCACCCTCATGTAACATACAATGAATCAGCCAGTAGGTTTTTCGGTTTGATAAAATTACATATCTCGATATCGAATTTCATAGCTATTAAACTTGCATGAATTATTCTCTATTCGTCACTTTTAATGGATTTTTCCTCTCAAGAGGGCATTTTTTCCGCTTCAATATGATGTACAACGGTTGTATTCCAAACACAGGACAACAAACCCCTCTTCGTCTCAGATTGCTACTCTGAAAGTAAGTATGAATCACTCTGAGAATAGTCATAATTAAAACGAAAATTTGTCTCAAAAGGTTTTGCGTCTCCTTGCCTATCTATATTTCTGCCTTGTAAATGCTTAAAAGTGAAACAAAGAACAACTGCCTGGAGGTTCAAGGAGACAAATTGACTTCTAATGATGGTAAAAATTGATGTTAAGCTGCGGTACTCAAATGTAGTGCGTATCTTATAAAATACAGACCCAAAACTTCGTGGAGCCTAACGGCCTCTTTTGCTTGTGTATTGTCACCACGAGGTCATGGTTGGCGTCATATTAGAGTTATCCTAAGCTACTATAGTAAATGAGTCACCAAAGCGAAAGAGACGTAAGTCTCAATTGTTTTCAAGGTGAGGAATCGACATAAGGCAGAATACAAAAAATAAGCTAATGATCATTCAAACGTTGATGTAAACTTTCGTATCTGTTCTTAAGCCTGAATGCCTAATTGGGAAACCGCATTGGAAGACTGAATAAGTTACTTTTGCGATTACAACATGTTCGCTTGGCAGAGGAAAGCATGATTCGATATCCTGGTTGCTAGGTTGTTAAGTGAATGAATGTTAATGGAAGTCTTTAAGGGGGCCACGAGCACGGATCAAGCTCGGAAATAACACAACAAACATTCGCAGAGCTATATTATTCAGACGCTGCAGCACAATCAAAACCAGGATGAAAATGGGAAGCAATCCCCGAAAAAACCCGAAAGAAGCGATTCCCGGATAAACTTCCCACCGTTGTCTGAGAGGATGTGATTCACCCAAGATCGACTACCCGAAAACCGCACCAACAATAAAAACTATTTCTTACCTCTTTCACACCATTCTACCAAGTCATACCTCGTCCACCCGGTGGTTGGTAGCATTGTAAAAGATGCAAGGTGAACAAAACTAGTCTCGATATACGGTGTTTGGTCATGCGTAACACATGGTTGAGCCAACGTAGTTGACCGTCTTGCATGTTTTCGCGATTGAATTATCCGTTACACAACCAACTATTTGTTTAATAATCACCTCATCACAACTTCGTTGACGCTTTCCGACACCAACAACGCTTCTGCGGCATCGGTAGTCAAACACCTGAAGACAATTTGTCCCATCTGTCCGTGGAGGCTATGTTTGGCAACCATATAACTACACAGATGTTACTGTAGCCTTGTACTCACGACCCTTGAGACCAAAATCGACAACCAGAAGACAGACGAAAGAATTGCTTTGCCATACATTAATAACACTTCTCAGACGACAGCAAAGGTACTACAACAGCATGACATAAAAGTAGTACAAAAACCTACAAACATTTGGTGAACATTACTGTCGAACCGAGAGAGAAAACCTGGTATAATAGAGAATACCAAGGACATTTACAAAATTCAGTTCAGTAATTCTGACAAGCACTAGAGGGACAAACAGAAAGGAAGCTATCAACCACGATTAGTGGACATGAGCCCGCCCCTAGAAGACACGACAAACTCTCGCTTGTCTCCTTACATGAAGAATTGGGAAGACACGAATTAAGCTGGCACAACATCAACAAATCAGATGAAGCAAGAACAAAGAAACAACCCAAAATTTATCAGGGCTAGGTACTCCACTGGTAGTATTTGGTAAACCCTGAAAACTAACTTTCGAGGACAAGTTAAGTTCAGAACTATCAGGCACTGATCCATTCGGAGAATTGGAGGAGAAACTAGTAGAGACAGACCGTAGAGCATCCAGCCTCAAAGGACGTCAAGGATGCTATGTAGCTAGCCAGTAGAATGCAAAAGAGTCATACTGTCATCATCAGCATCATCGTCATTATCACCACAGGTAAACCCATTTTCATTCACTTTATCTTATATTGATATGCTACGTGTTGCTGTGAATATGCTTCAAACCTACTGGGAATCGTCAGCTGTGACCAAGTCTCGAAAAAGGTATGCGGAATAGTTGAAGAATATGAATTTGAGTGACAGGCAGTTGAAGAGCGACCTAGACAATATTCATCGCATGTGCTTTCTATAAACACGTGGGTGTGTGGCTGCTAGCCACCATTGTTAGTTGAGTTACATCTTCACATATATTAGACGCATATAAGTTCGAAACGGAATAATTGGTCATTCCGGGATTATTCCACCTTGTGCAACGCGGAAGTGTCACTTCCAAGTAGACCACACAACGAGTTCGTCCTGGCTATCATTGTGTCCAAATTTAACGCACCCTCCCGATTAGGCTTCGTAACTTCTAAGACAACTTCAAAGAAGATAATATGCGATTAAGAGTTATTCTTTTGTTGCGGTAGATTTGGAGTAATACCGTAAAGTAATATCGTGCCGGTAATGCCACTTGTTTCGGGAAATTGTCTATTCATTCCTCCTTCGGAGACGAAACACACTATAGTGCCCATGACGACTATTGATGATCTATATATCAGCCAATTGCCAAGTTGAGATACCGATTCCATAAGGAATGCCTGCACCTTCAACGTGATATAATAGTGTTTCCTGATTCGTATTGTTCAACGATTTATCCATATGTAGTTCGCCCTTTTTGGATTGTCACTAAGTGACGGTATGAAATTAAGGGGATCAAGTCAGAAAATGCAGTTTCAGAACACAAGAGAATTATTTGGGATTCCAAATAGTGAACAAGTTTTGCTACTGAATTATTAAATATCGTACCTTGTAACCCCGTAAACATTCAACATTTGCCCTGACTTATCTACTTGTGATCGAGACTCACGCTGAGTCAGTATCTCTTGTACACAATATTGTGAAAAGAGATGTTCTAACAGACTTTGAGCAATGACATGGCCTAAATATTCAAGAGTTAAGAAGATATGGAAGAAGTCTCTTGTTAGTTACCCCTTACATACTGATGAGATGCTTAATAATTCGAGTGTTTGCTCTTGGAAAACAACAGGACCGACATTAGGGACAGACGACCCGTGGTTTAAATGAACAGTAGTTACATTTTTGCATTAGGCATTTTTTACAGTTGAGGAAACTGTCCGGTGAGTTGAATAAGTCGGTTGCGACCGTTTCGTCAGCAATGAAGTAGAAGGTCGTCGCTGCGTCGGCATGAAGAATCTGGCCAGTGTCGTTCCCGTGTTTGTCTAAGTTGAAGCTTGTTTATGGCTGGCTGGCTGCCTTATCAATCTCGCCGGTTTGCTAGCTGACTCCTTATTTGACTGGCCGGCTTCCGGATCTCCTTTGAGGTTGAACTCTCCAGTTCGCACCTTGCCCTCAGGAGTTTTATGGTTACCCTGGTTGTCACCCTACCTGACGGTGATTAATTTCCCAGGTTATATTGTCTAGTTAATGAACGCCTACGTGATGGCTAGTTCTTCAGATTGATCACGTAGAACGTGTGGAAATGGAACGAATTCAGTATTTAAAAGATAACGGACTAGGAAGCTCACGCGCCAATATCTAAGTCGTAAGCTGTAGCCTTTAGAATGTACTTTGCATCCGTCCCGTCAGTTGGTTCACTTTTCCTACTCTGTAAAGCCATGCAATGAATAATTCAGATAAATCTGAATGAAAACATTGGATATTTTCAAACCACCCCCTTATTCACCCTGCGAGACAATGAGTCTGAGGATCTCATGTTATCGAAGTGTGTTAGATACATGGTGTATTTTTAGATGACGACACAGCTAAATGATCAAAATTTACCAACAATAGCTCAGTGAACTTACCGATGAATTGGTTTTGACCTTTACCACGCTGTTTTTTGTCTTTGACCAGCACGGATCCCTGTCTGTATAGGTTGATAGTGACGATAGATATCTCGGGAAGGTTGCTGCAAGCAAGTTTCAATAGTAATCGTATGTCACACAGGCTAGTATAAAGCCATAACCTCGTTATTCAAAGCGCCATAAAACCAAGCGACCAAACATATTAAAAATATTTCCTTATACAGCAGAATCCCGTCAGCAAACCACTGTGACACTGATGAAGAAAGACTGGCAGATATGCTATAGTCTAAAAAACCAGGCATCAATCAGTAACATGGAATGACCAAGTTTGTCCTATATTCTTTTGATAAATCAGCAATTGTTCTTAAGTTTCATGGAACAGAATCCTTCTAGTAATTTCATTTAGCTTCCAAAATTCTGGATTGCATGCACATGCCAGACTGTTGAATTGAATACCTATGCCCTCGACAGATGATTTCCCTTGCACCTGAATTTGTTTTGGCAGAATGCTCAGCTAGTTCAGCAAATTTAATTGCAACGGATCATCATAAACGAGCGATTCAGTTAGTTGAGTCTGTTATCCAAATCAAATTCCTTTGCTAATCCTTTAAAATCTGTGCAGTTTGGGTTCAAGTAGCCCACGAGGTTGCCAAAACTCGTGGACTGCGCCTACGTGATGGACCCCAAGAAGGGCGAAGCTGGTCGTGGTCTGTCGAAGTTTTTTCGGAAACCTTATAAGTAGTGTATTATTGTTTGTTTTCGTTTGTTTTGTTAGATAGGTCAATGTGATATTTGGCTGCTTGACTAACTAGCTTGCTGTCAAACGCCCAAGCCACCAATCACCGGAGAGAGACATAAAACCTATCCTGAAGGGATCCACGTATATAAAACGGTGACGAGAATGGACACGAAGTGCGTCGTGTGAGCAAAGCCAGAACTGTCTTTTGCTTTTGGGACAGCTTGTAGACGTTATTGTAGGGGGATACACCCACAAACAAACTGTCCTCAAGAGGAGTGTCCCTTGTGAACTGGTGTAGACAAAACAACGTGGTTCAACAGTAAGTATAATTCGCAGCCGTCCACTTATCTTGTCCCCGCCTTACATTATGGGTCCCCATCAATGTGAACACACCAGTGGGCCAGATGTGACCGGCTACATTACCAGGTTACTTGTTTTCATTCTATGGGTCAAATTATCCCATCCTGTATCTGTTGCTGTAAACAAATGTGCATGAAACCAGTGATCTATTTAATGCGGTAGCAAGGACTGTCTTGAGTTTCCGAAGGTTTAAATCTATACAATGATGAGAAATTAGCTACCGACTGATCACAAGCAACCGCCACGTTTAACGTGCAGTCAGCTGACCTAAGAGAGGCCACTTCACTGTATAGAAATTATGTATGAAATTATTACCCAAACTGATGATTTTTTCAAGACCAATACCCGATATTCAAGAAAGGCCACTCTTAATGTTTTAATGGTGCAAAGCTGCATCCCGATAATGACATAATTTTTACACCATTTGGTATCCAATCAACACCACGAAGACGACACCGTTCTCCCTGAGTGACTAATGATCTTGCAGCGTGATTTTCACCCATATGGCACAGAAACACCACGATCTTCTCCATCTCGGAAAAACACTTTTCAAGTGATACCACTTGTGACTGAACCAATTCGGGCGTTTTCAATCCTCCAGCCCTTTTCCAGAAGAGCGCACATAAAAAAATCAATGTAGGCGATTCCCCGTGGGCGGTCTTCAGAAAAGAAATGACTTTATTAGTTTTTGCTGCTCCAGATGGACCAGTTGAACCCAAATTTTTGTCAGAGGCAAAAGCGCAGTTCTTGACAAGCCGCAACTCTGTCCTATATCGCGAGATCATTGCAATCAGCCAACAAAAAGGTTTCGTCTTGGAACATGTCTCACCTGGGAGTTCAGTGGTGATAAAAACGAATGTCGGTCAGAACGGTCGATTTCGACGGCTCTTCGCCCGTGAGGAAGGATTCTGTGATATTTGTTGCAGTTGTGTGCACTCAACGGCCCCAGTATTACATTTGTCTCCCATTAGCAGAACCTCCAGAACAGAATGAGGTATTTACAATAGGGTCACATACAAGTGCACAATGACGACCGAAATTCGCCAAGCGGTGGCCTTCTAAGAGAGGTTTTCAACTTTTGCTGTGGCGACTGTTTTCGTGGACGTTAATGGTGGTACTTATAAGGTAAAGCTTCATAATATTACAGGCTTCGTAAAGCGGGGTCACAGCATTAATGTACCAGCTTCAGTATACCAATGAATCACTACCAAAACTTGAAATATTTACATTAATCACTGCTTCTGCGATCAATACAGTGTGTCCTCACCCAAAAGGAACTTTTTTCACAAATAGCACCATTTGGATTGATCTAGGAGACTGCTGTATGCTGAATCAGTCAATAAAATCGGTTCAGATATGTATAATTTGGTAGACATAATAACAGATTTGGCTTCATGTCATCCATTTGAGCGGACAAGACTGCAGTCTCGCGCCACAGGTATCTTTTTATGGTTCTAGTGTCATTTTGCATTTGCCGTATAAGCGACATAACCATAAAACCATGTAAACCAAAAGGGCTGCCTACTTGTCACATGCGTGACCAATACATAATGTGAAAGTGGCGAAAAGCTATCTGGTTCCTTACTTCAGTTCAAATCTTTCACCCCAAAACACAGTTCCGTCCGACTGCTTGCTGGTCGTTCTCGCGTAAAGTGTTCGGTCAAGACAGATTTCGCAAAAATATCTGAAATAAAAAAAATCGGAATCTGTTTAGCCTTTGGCAGTAAAATTGGAAAGAACACCATTAACAATGCTGTCTAGACTGATGGGCTGTAAGTACCCGTGGTTCAGTGTGGATCAGTCCAATTAAAGTAACAAAAACGCGTTGATTCCACTGGGAAATGTGAGAAAAATAACACTGTACCAAAGATGTTATCAACGCTAGAATTCATTTTCAGTGGAATTACAGCACAAAACCGACGTCATAGCGGTTATGATCTACTAAGCGTGACAGCTAATCATAATCCTAATCATCATTCATAGACAATGAATGAACAAATTTATCTCTTCATTTAGACAAAATAGATGCATCAATTCAACGTGCTCTGTCATAACAATTCCCGACCGTTTTTCCCGTTGGCATGCGGTTTGTTCGACCCCTGGCATGCATACATAATGCACATGACCCACAGAAGCTGTATTTTGTGTTCCAGCTAAAACTGCCAAGATCGTGGTACTCTGTGATAAAATAAAAGCCGAGTAAATACATGTGATAAACACTCATCTCTAGAAATTCAAATGGTAGGGCCTTGTTTAGCTACCGGTTTATTCAGTTCTGCTAACTGGCTATTTCCGAGGATGATATCTTGTTGATATGGTGATTATTTCGCAAAACAGCGAAGCATTCGACGTGATAAGCCAGGACAAAAGGTATGGATAAAGTTTTTTGATCAAAATATCTTTGGCTAAATCTTCTCATCCAAATCCGGCAATACACATTCTGGCCGGACATACGGGACGACTGCTTCGCAGGCCTTAATTGCATGAGTAAATATAGCAGTCGAAAACAAATTGACCATGATCTAACAGTATTTCCAAGCCATCACTTGCCTTATCCACATGGCAGTAACTTGCCTGTCATACGCAAACGTCTGGCTAAATTTACAGCATCCTTCAGGTTAGTAATCCGCGCTCTAACCACTTCGGCCATCTCGCCCCCCTTTATCTTTTTATCTTTTTATCATCCCCCTAAGAAAATTCCTGTACACCGATTCGTTGTCCACTTCAATTAGCGCTGGATACACATAACGACTGATATACCTGTAACGATGGAGCGTCCGTATCAATATCGAAATTTGCGAAGTAGCAACATCCAATATCTGTGAGCTAAATCCTTCTATCAGGGTGTTATCTCAATCACCTTTGGCCTTCCTGTTTTTGACGAGAGGGCTATAGGTCCCGTTTCGCAAAAAAAGAAACTTAAGTGAGCATTGAGAATTTATAGTTGGGATTAAATCCCGGTCTATGGATTAGTACGATGGCCACCAGATTTCCACGAAACTCTTTGTAGGCAGGGTACGTAGTTGGATCTTTAATATGGAATTTTCCAACGTATTCTGCCGTCTGAAATTTTTTTGTTTTTTAAATGACGTCAGGCGTTCACATTATTGGGCGTGTTTGGACGACATATTGACGCATGAATGAAAAGCGCCTCACAATATGTGCGGACGATACTGGCGACACCGTATGTTAATGTAAATACGGAAAGGACAGAACGACAATTTGCGTAAGAGAAATAGGTGATATGTCTAGGATCGTTGTTGCTTTAGAAATTTTCGATACTTATTTGGTAAGGACTATAACAATTATTAGACCCAATTGAAAATTTGTTCTCTGTCCAGATCCACTCAATTTATAGAGGGGCATTTGGAGGGTTTTCAATATGCGATAAACAGCACTTGCAAGTGGACAATCTATCATCAAGCAAATGAATTGAATACATAGGTAATGATGTTTCATTTACGATCGCATGAAACGGAAAGAGATATTGTTCAAAAAATCCATAAGACTATCCTAAATTGATGAATATCTGCCTGTTTGATGTTGAAACATCCTCACACTGTTTTGCTTCGAAAATATTAGGAATGACGTGGGTTTCTTCCATGAAGCACCAGATGTGGGCAGAAAAGAAGATGAGGATTTGTGGGCAAAATTAGTTCACTTAAGTTTTACTACTCATTGATGGGGGAGGAACCAATCAGTAGACGCCACTTTACGATAGCCGGAGTGACTTCAGTTCGAGTGTCGGTTAGTATAAAGATAGTATTAGTTCTATGCTGCTTGCGCGTAGCTGTGGGTGCCAGCTCCGATTATGTTTATGTTTGACTGTTTAGGATCTGCAGAGAATCCTCCAGTTGCATTTTAATGTGGTTTGCAACTGACCCGTATGTCAATTTACATAGTTCACTATTCTATAATTGGGAGTGACACAGGCAACATGGTTTTCGTGCATACATAGCTCTGCAGAACAGACATACGAGAAGAAAGGTGTATGGTTAGTAGTTT